ACTACTATATTATCCCGCAATTCTATTGATGGGTACGTACCCAAAAGAAGAAATCAGCATATCAAAGAAATGTCTGTATTCCCATGTTTATTGCAGTACTATTCACAATAGCCAGGATATAGAATCAACCTAAGTGTCTCCATCAACAGATAAATGGATAAAGAAAAGGTGGTACCTATACACCACAGAATAACATTTAGCCATAAAAAAGAAAATCTTGTCCTTTGTAACAACATAGATGGTACTAGAAGAGATCATGTTCAGGGAAATAAGCCAGGTACAAATTTCACATTTTCACTCCTATGTGGGAACTAAATTTTTTTTTAATTGAACACATAGAGATAGAGAATACAGAGAGTTACCAGAGGCTAGGAAGGGTAGCAGGAAGAGGGAGATAAAATGGGGATAGACAGGGGTACAAAAATACAGTTAGGTAGAAGGAATAAGATCTAGTATTTGGTAGCACAATAGGGTGACTATATAATTTACTGTGTATTTTTTTTTTTTGAGACGGAGTTTCACTCTTGTTACCCAGGCTGGAGTGCAATGGCGCAATCTCGGCTCACCGCAACCTCCGCCTCCTGGGTTCAGGCAATTCTCCTGCCTCAGCTGCCTGAGTAGCTGGGATTACAGGCACGCGCCACCATGCCCAGCTAATTTTTTGTAGTTTTAGTAGAGACGGGGTTTCACCATGTTGACCAGGATGGTCTCGATCTCTTGACCTCGTGATCCACCCGCCTCGGCCTCCCAAAGTGCTGGGATTACAGGCTTGAGCCACCGCACCCGGCCGATTTATTGTGTATTTTTAAATAACTAAAAGAGTAGAAATTGAAGGTTACTAACACAAAGAAATAATTGCATGAAGTGATGGATATCTTGACTACCCTGATGTGATCACTACACATTATATGCTTGTGTCAAAACATCACATGTACCCTATAAATATACATAACAATTATGTACTAATAATAATTAAAACAAAAAAATTTAAAACAAAATAGATGTGTGCAAGTATGTGTCCATGTTAATAAAGGCAGTAAAAGCATTTTCTATTTACCATTTGACCTACTTTACTTTTTCCAAAATATTTTTACACAGTATGCTGAGACTAAAGTAGATATTCTATATGTCAGTACAGAATTATATGATAAAAAGAGCAATCTAACAGAGCAAATCAATTTTTTAAAAAAGACTTTACCAGACAATTAACTATAACTTTAAAGACAATTAACAATATTCCTAATAATCTGTCAGGATCTTTATCTGTCAATTCAGTTAAGTTTTTCACTGTTGAAGGATGTTTTCACTAATTAAAAAATATATATCATCTTCCAATCTCAACTTCATCAAGGAGTTTTCTGAAATATTTTAAAAATATTTAAATTATTGGCCAGGCATGGTGGCTCACATCTGTAATCCTAGAACTTTGAGAGCCAGAGGCAGGTGGATCACAAGGTCAGGAGATCAAGACCATCCTGGCCAACATGGTAAAACCCCATCTCTACTAAAAATACAAAACTTAGCTGGGTGTGGTGGTGGGCATCTGTAGTCCCAGCTACTGGGGAGGCTGAGGCAGGAGAATTGCTTGAACTCAAGAGGCAGAAGTTGCAGTGAGCCGAGATCACACCACTGCACTCCAGCCTGGTGACAAAGGGAGACTCCAACTCAAAAAATAAATAAATAAAATAAATAAATAATAAAAAGTTAAAAGGTTTGGCTTAGCCAAAATAAAAGCCAAACTTTATGAACAGTAATAAAACAACCAGCCTTCTTTTATTAAAACAAACAAAAAACAGCACTTTCTGTTTTCAACTGCAGGGAATATAATTTTTTTTCTTAAAACAAAGAGGTTAAGATGTCAATAATGTCTCAGAATTAAAACTGATGATGTAACTTTTTTTTTTAAACAAAATAATGGATAGTTCAGTGGTTTAGAGGATAGGCTCTGAAGTCAGATTGCCTGGGCTAATTCCAGATCTGCTACATGCTAGCTGGAGAAACTTGGAAACATTAAATCCTAGCCTGTGTATGGTGATATAATAGTATTAGCTCACTCACAGGGTTGTTCTAAGAATTTTACACACATTAACTAATTTAATCCCCTCAATAACCTCATGGGGCAGGAACTGATAGCGTGCTCATTTTCTAGATATACTAAGTGGTACTGGGGAGGGCATATAACTTGCCAAAGGTAGAGAGTAAGTCATGGTTGCAGGATGCCAACCCCAGGGGTCTGACCCAGGGTCAGCACTTTCAATGGCATGTCACTGCAGAGCCTCTGAGATGCTCCTGCAGAAGAAGGAAGAGGGTATAAGTGATGAAAAGAGAAAGAAGAGCTCAGAGATGATGCTGATTGATACCATGAAAACTTCAGAGTAACGACACCCACAAAAGATTATGTACACAGGATTTTTACGAAAATGGTGAAGGGGTGGAGCTTTGCACCTGAGGGGAAATGAGGCTAAACAGTGACAAAGTCAGCAAACAGAGGAGCTGAAAGGCAAAGAGGCCTCTCAGCCAACATCTTGGGGGCCTGCCTTGTTTGGGTCATATGAACGAGGTGCAGCACCAGCTGCACTGCAAATTACACTGCTATCTTAGATCTATGACAGAAGTGATACTTCACCATGACTGTTCAACTGCTAGACATATGGCGCTGGGTACCAATAACTAGCATCAATCATGCTAGTCCAAGGTAGTCCTGGGAAAACTCCCTCAAAATACAGCACGTCAGCCTTTGGGAAAAAGTATCATTAGAGCTTAGATATATCAGATGGAGCAGCTAGTACTGAGAGCGTATTAGAGTAATTAAGGTCCCAGAAATTCCTTCATGAAATACCAAATTTGGAAGTTTGTGTGCCTTCTGGGGCTCAGTTAAAGAAAGACTACTTCTCAAACTAGTCTTTCCTAGAAAGGGACGGAGGTCTATGGTAGATAATACCCTGAGGCAGAAGGCCCTGGAAACCAGGCTTCTATTGAGGTAGCTACAAGACATGCAGTGGAATGTCTCATCAAGACTACATCCTGCTACCAGAAGTTGGAGAAGATCTTAGCAACTCCAGGAGCCACTGCAGAGGGGCTTAAAATTTGTCTCAGAAATCCTACAAAGTGGCAGAGAGGGAGGGATAAAGAAGATGAATAAAAAGTTTAAGGTCCAGCATCAGAAATCCTATGTGCCCTCAAAGATGCCAGTACACCCAACTTACATCCTTTAAATGGCTATTTGATATCAAAAAGAATAATGTCAATTTCTAAACACAAAAACAACAGAAAAGAGGCTGGACGTGGTGTCTCACAGCTGTAATTCCAACACTTTGGGAGGCCGAGGTGGGAAGATTGTTTAAGGCCAGGAGTTCAAGGCCAGAATAGGCAACATGGCAAGACCCCATCTCTATTTTCTCAAAAAATAACTTTTAAAAAAATTTTAAATACATGTATAATAAAAACAAAAAAAAGCAGAGTTCCCTGCATATGTGTTAAGACTTCAGAGGTATTTTAAAGTCAAGAATACGGAACAGAGTAGAAAACCAGGGTTTTTTGGAAAAAATGCTGAGAGAAGAATTTATTATGAAATCCTGAAGATGAGGAATTTCACAGGAGGCCTGAGGCACCCCTGAAGTTTTCTGTTAGTGAGGGTAATTCAAGAAGTGTGAAGAAAGTCATACTGGCAGTTTTCAAGGAACTTAACTTGGGGTTGACAGAGTCAGTTCTGACTTAGAAGCCAAGGCATAAATCCATGACACACTAAGAAGGAAGGATCGGACTAGCAATCAAGCCTACCACACCCCACCTTATCCTAGTCTGAAGGTTACCCAGAAAAATCACCAGCCCCGGTCAAAGACTAAGCCCCATTATTTTACCTCAGGTATAAGGGATCTGGTCTGAAGAAAACAATTCTGACCAATCTCCCAGCTACTGCCCCTGTCCCCTGGACATATGAGACAGATTCAGAAAAACACCCAGGCCTGCCAGAACTTGGCTGTAGAAATGATGGAAAATTCTATAGTAAAGTTTATCCACGAGAAAAACTCTATTCTGATCTCCCAGAGATTACCCTTACATCTAAGGGAAACATCTCTTATTTCTCAAAGCATACAGAGCATTGGCTGATGCTAGCAGATGCCAGTCTGACTGGGCCAAGATAAGGAAGTAAGAGGTGGGAAACCAGTATCTGGAAAAAGAGACCCAGAGAAACATTCCAGGGAGTGAAGACCATATGAGTTAATGTAAATCTTCTCAGAGGGAGCAGGAATTTGGTGTTAGGAGGTCCAGCATGGAAGAGGATGAAAACCAGAAGGAAATACTGGGTTTTAATACCCCCTGCCACACCTGGGAAAGAGAATTTCTGGAAAGAGCATACAGAGACCTTGTGTAAAACTTTTCTTCAGGGGAAGAAATGTGACACGACATGGAGGAAATTGTACTTTTCAGAATTCCCCTGGGGAAAAATGCTGTATTTGATTGAAAGAAATATTTTTTAAAGCCAAAAAAATCTTTAAAATTGGCAGGTATTAATTTTATAATAGAAAATAGTCTTAACAAACAGGAAACACTAACATATTTAGGCTTTAAAGTCTACTTCATTCAGCAAATATTTACTGGATGCCTAATTTAATTTCAGATGCTAATTTATGAAACAAAGTTAGTACTATTTATAAGACAGAACTTGAATTCATCAAAAATTCTTTAAGACTTTTTTGAAGATTGTAAGTTTCCTGAAGATTGTAAGTTTCCACAGTTAAAAAGGGGGGGTAAAAAGAAGTGATTTTACAAATTTAATTTGGTGTACACAGCCAAACCAACATGCAAGAAAAATCTCACTTGATGACACTATTCCAAGTAATTGATGACCTTTATCTTTACAGATTTCACTTTTTAAAAAGTAATGCATAAATTAATTCTGAATTATAAGAAATAATTTAAAATCAATCATATAATCAAGTAATTTTTTTAAAGAAAACATAATTCATCTAATTATTTTGTTTCTTAAAAAGACTCACCTAAAAGGACAAATCCATCTGCTTCTGTCTCTGGTACTGAGGGCTTTTTAGATTCTGGAGGCTTTCTGAAGAAGTGAAACATTGCTGCTGCTGCTGCTACCTGAAATAGAAACATTACCCAGTGTCAAATGTAGATGCAACTGTAAGACTCTTACCCTTTGTAGCAAAAAGTTAAGCACAAAAATATCACAATTACTCTTAGGAATTCTATGCCCAGATGTACATGCATGAGCCTTCTCTAGGTGTCAGCAGACAAAGGTAGAAAATGATCTTCCAGTTTAAACTCCTGTATCCCTTGAAGCTCACAGTGCAACCTCTCTCAATTTCTGAAGACTTAGAAAATAACCCAGGAAATCCCTACATATAAATGCAAATTAACAGATAATACAAGAATCTGGAAGGGGCTTGCTAACTATAAAACAGATATTGGTTTGGGTAATAGAAAAAAATTTAAAGTCCAGGTCTCTTTTTATGCCACAACTACCTTAAGCCTCATAAAACTAAGGCCACATGAAAAAAAGAAAACATTTGAAACATCCTCTTCTGATGGTTACCTAATTTAGACACTCAAGCACTGTACCTGTATTAGTCCATTCTCACACTGTTATGAAGAGATACCCTAGATTCGGTAATTTATAAAGAAAAGAGGTTTCACTGACTCACAGTTTCACATGGATGCCAATAACTTGCACCAACCATGCAATATTGGTGCCAGTTATTGGTACCCATGTGAAAGGTCTCAGGAAACTTACAATCATGGGGGAAGGCACCCTTTCACAGGATGGCAGGAGAGAGAATGAGTGCCAAGCCAACGGGGAATCCCCTTATAAAACCATCAGATCTCATGAGAACTCACTCACTATCACAAAAACAACACGGGGTAAATGGCCCCCATGATTCAGTTATCTCCACCTGGTCCTGCCCTTGACACATGGGCGTTAACACAATTCAAGGTGAGATTTGGGTAGGGACATAGAACCAAAGCATATCAGTACCCATCGTAAAACTGCAGCCAACTTTAAATTCCCATCAGTGCAGATCCTTGTGTTGGTGAGATTATTGTGCACCATCCCTAGTACACACATGCTCACACGCACAAATACAAGCACGCGTGCACACACACACACACACACACACACACACACACACACCCCTCTCTTCCTACTATTCCAATTGTTATACATTTAACCAGGCCAACAATTTCTAGAAAACAAATGGGGAGAAAGTTGCAAGGTACATGCAAGGACACATAAGATTCTGAGGACAGTTCCTAACAGGCCATAAAACAGAAGAGAAAGCAAAGAATAATCCTGGTGGCAGAAAATGCTTCAAGTTTTAGTTCTCATATATTTCACCCATAACAGAAAATCAAGAAGGAAGGATAGATAAAGATTTAATCTGAGTAAAGCCTTCTAGAAACTGAGAATTATACTGGGATTTGTGCTGTTTGCCCTGACCTAAGCTGTAGATCAAAGAAGTGAATCCCAGCTTAAGTGAGTGGTAAAAGGAACTTAATTGTTGCTAGCAAACATATCTTGCAGATTCAGTTTTAAAAGGAATAAAAAGTAGAGAAGAAAAACACAACCTAGGTGAAGAAGAAAATGTTCTAATAAGAGAAAAGGAACAGCCTCTGAAATCCTTGAAGAAAGAGCTTACTGGTTATAGTAATGGATACAAAAGAAACGTTTTCAAAATAGTTTGGCACTCTCCACAGAGATCAAGGAGAGATGGTGTCTAATGAACCTGGTGGAAAAAAAAAAAAAAAAGATGAGGTGAAAAAGCAAAAGAAAAGGATGAAAAGACAAGGAATCAAATGAACAAAAGTAACTGAATAAGATAAAGGGAAACCCACACAAGGAAAAAATGAATTCAGGAAAGAGTTCATTTGCAAGCAGGAATGTAAGAAAATAGAGTTCAAATTAAATGACTTATACAATTGGAAGAGGCAACTACTTTTCAAACCCAAACAGTTAAAAACAAAACTGAGAAGGCCTTTAAGGAACAACAACTGATTAAAACTGAACCTCAGCTAAGGATCAAATAAAGGGTATAGCTGATATTAAAACCTCAGTGTAGACTAATGTGGCACTCAGTAAATTCTTTCACTTGGGATAAAATGGATCAGAAAAAAAGAGACTAAGGACTGAAGCCTTGTAGAGCCAAGATATCCTCAAGTAAATAAAGAGAAGGAAGGGGCCTGCACAGAGGTGAAAAAGATAAGAAACACAGGAACTCTAAGAATTATATCTAGCAAAAATTTTAGGTCTTGCTATTAACACATCAAGCTGACTGAAGTAAAGTAGATAAGAAGCCAACAAAATTTTTGAGAATTGTACTGCAAAAATAATCTGGTCTCAATTCAAAGAGGAATATGATTATTGAATACTTAAAACAACCTTTAGACAGCAATTTTCTACAGATAAGAGGCTGCCAGAGAAAACCGTTCAGCCCCCAAGGAGGCCCAATGCCCATTTGTGTTGTAGCCAAGGAAGTTACTGAAAGGAAAAAATTCCAAGAGGGTGAACCCAATGGTATGGAGGACAATGGATGAGGAGCCTCTCCCAGGAAGCAGAATCTGGACATAATTAAGAAACATTCTTGGGCCCAAGATAGGGGTCCCCCAAAATTCTACTGGGAATTGCAGAACTGCTACAACTTTTGACTGCTGTCTCTCTCCTACCATTTGCCTTTCTGAATCGGAGAGGTTTTGGCAACTATGCCTCCCAGTTAGTCCTACCAGGGTGTAAGGGGAAAGGAAGGACAAGTTACTTGTCTTTTTAGTTCATGAAGTCTCCAGATCAAGAGGTATAACATCTGAACATGATGAACAGACTCTTGTATATCACCCAGAGGCACTGAACTTTGAGCACGATGCTGTAACTGAAGGCGGGAATGAGACAGACTGTCTTTGGGAGGGGTGAGTTACTTTGCCTATGGTAGTAGAGAGAGAGATCTGAATATGGTGAACACAAATGAGAACCACAGAATCATTAGGGCTGTTTACCAGCTGTGTTTTAGGGAAACATAAAAGGACAGTTTTCTCTTCCCTCCTTGGAGCTAGATGTGGCCATGTGATTTCCCTTGTTCACTGTGCCACATGTCATTAGAATGCTAAAATAAGGGCTTTTGTGGATATGGAGAGAAACCCTTTAGAAAGTGGCTACTCTTCTAACATATGAGTAACAGCCTTTTAAATAGAAGGACTCAAATTTCCAAAGTCTTTTCACATCTGGCCACAAGTCAGAAATGGAACAAACATGGATATCACTAAAGTAGTTCTAATAAGTCATTCTCAAACCCCAAAAGTTTAGATATATTGTTATAAAAGCCAGAGTAAACTCAAGTGTAGTATAAGAAAATAACCTCTTTTTAACCCAAGTATTGTGTAATGAATTTATAACAAGTAATTAAGTGAAACGTTTAAATTTTTAATGACCTAAAACATTACATTCGAACACACTGGCTACAGCAGCCTGTTACACAGCATGACTTACTGGCAAAGCATAACATTACAATCTGTCACTTCCGAACATAAGAACATTATCATATCCCAATAGAAGGAGGGATAATATAGGCTCCAGAAGTCAAGAAACTTGTAGGCAGGGAAAAAACAGGTCAGGAATAAGGCAAACAAAGTAGAGAATGTAAAAAAAGAATTAAGAATGTCAGCAAAGATTTCCTTTGGATAATTTCAGACAGTTCTGAAGTTATTACAAAGGCATGAGTCACCCTCATGTCTATCACCCCATCAACCTGACCTCCAACTTAGCTCCTTCCTCAACTACAGTCCACCTCAAGATGATGTTCTATGGGAACATGCTTCTAGTTTACAATAAGAGTCTCAGGAATCCCTTGTATGACCAATACTGCTGCTGATGCTAAAGACTCATACCACTAGGTACCTAATGTCAGTCTAACCACCTATCTTCAGTAATCCCTCCATGCATGAAAAGAGCATATATTAAAACACTAAAATCTGCAATCAGCTTATCTTAATCCCATGATAATTCTTTTCATATCATTCAAAAACACACAGTGGTATAATAACTTACTCTAGAGTGGAGGGAGGGACTGGTAAATACCATTCTTAGATATCTCCTCTATAAGGGGTACAGTAAGATTTAGTTACCGTGCCTAAGACTAGTAACTGGAAAGGCGAAGGGGAATAACTACAAATGCCACTAACAGTTGCTGAGTTCCTACAATGAGTCAGACCCGGTATGAAAATACGGTATACAATAGTCCCCGCCTTATCCATGGAGGACATGTTCCAAGACCCCAAGTAGATGCCTGAAACCAAGGATAGTACTAAACCCTATATACAGTATGTTTTTTCCTATACAAAAGGTCCCCTAAATAGTGACCCTTCATTTTAATGTTGACGAGAAAAGAAACTTGATTCCCAGCTGGGACCACTGTCTATGTATGTTTAGAGCTGGCCCATTCTCTCCATGTCTGCATGGGTTTTCTCTCCAGTACCCCGGCTTCCTCCCACATCCCAAATCTGTGTCCACTAGGTGGATTGGCATGTCTACATGGTTCCTCTCTCAGTGAATGTGGGTGGGTGTGTGAGTGCTCTGCAATGGAGTGGTGTCCTGTCCAGAGCTGGTTCCTGCCTCAAGGCTTAAGCTGCCAGAATAGCCTCTGGTTACCTGTAGCACTTAACTAGAATAATTGGGTAAATAATTATCTTGCTTGTTTTATTAATAATTCTTAAATGTAAGTATCACTAACATTTATTTCAGTGTTTAACATTATAGAAGTTTTTTATCTTTATTTCCAAGTTGGTGATGTTTTTATGACCAGAAATATGCCATAGGGAATTAACTCTTGCTTGTATCAGTTAGCCAACGGTAAAACTGGTTTCATTACATGTTGTTTCACTTAAAGTCAGTTTCTAAGAACCTATCCATGATGTTAAGTGAGAATTTACTGTATGTACATATCTATGATAAAGTTTAATTTATAAATTAGACACAGTAAAAGATTAGCAATAACTAATAATAAAATAGAACTATAACAATATATAGAAATAAAAGTTTATGGTCCCTCTCTTTTCCTCTCTTACAATATCTTATTGTACTGTACTCATCCATTTTTT